TCAAATTAAAAAGGAGGGAAGAGCGAAAGGAGGAAAGAAAAGGTTTCAATGATATTTCTCTGATGCACCGTGGCTCTCCCAATGGCCTTGGTCAACAATTTAACTGCACCAGCATGCCGTGGCCAAAGCACTTAGTTTGAATTTTCTGGCCTGTCGTGCTTGGTCCATTGTTAATGAGAGTGGTCCACGTTCTCTTTTACTCTTCTAAAAAGAACTTGAAAGACGGGTGTGGTGGTTGTGTGGGCCAACAGGGCATGGCTGAAATAAAAGTCTGTTCACTTTATCTGGCTTCTTGTGTATACCATTTTCAACAATACCAGCAGTTGCACCCCAAAATTAGAGCTAAGGGATTTGCTTCTACGCTGAGAGAGCCCAACCTCAGAGGCTCCCTTGGAGGTTTACCTGTCTGATAAGCTGTTTGCCTAATCAAAGGTCTCAAATTTCAGCCTCCCCTGACTTTGCAACCCGAGTCTCAGCCAACGCTGTGCGAAATCGCACAAGTGCTCTCAGCAGATCACCGTCCTCCCTGTTTGGAGCCCTGAGTCCAAGACCAGTAGACCACACACTTGCCCTCCCTGCTCAGTCCATCCATCAGCGTTTGCTGACACTGTTATAAGTCAACAGGATCAGGGCAGACAGCTGTCAGAGATGAAGCAGGGACAAGGAAAAAAGCTTAATGAAATTTTATTTTGGAAATATGGCAAGAGTCTAAGGCACTTCAAACATTTAAATACATATAGGACCAAAGTAAATGTGACCTGGTATGAAGGAATCAATCCATAAATACAAAGAACTATATACTATGTTTCTCTAGAGGCAAATAATAGCCAATTCCTCTAACACAATCCAACTTTTATCAATAGATACATAGTTGTGCCATTATTAATAAAAATATGGTAATGTTACATATAGTTTCTTCATGTCTTTAATTACTATAGAATATAAAAGTTGAAAATAACTGTCAATTTCATAGACACCTTTTATATAAAAAGTCGTATAATACATCCACCTAGATAAAACCAATTAAAAAATACTTCCTTTTATAAGTTCTATACTTTGAGAATTCCATCTTCTATTTTTAAATCAGAAACTACCAGCCCAAGTTGCTGATAGTCAAAGTCATCGCAACTTCCTTACTTTAAAAGAATACAGACAAAAGGAACATCACCTTGGAATGGAATTTTGGAAGAGATTTCTAATGATTCCACATTTAGTAAATATTTGTGGAAAAATTTTAAAACACGATGTCAGTGAGAACCTGACACTTCTTAGTGGTGGTGGGGGAGTGGAGAGAAGTGAACAGAAGGTGCCCATTCAGGTCAGGTTACAATTTCCCACGACTGTACATAACGGAGCAGAGACTTGACAGCAACAGAGACTGGATTAAAGTGTGCCCTACACAGAGAGAAGATGGCCAGAAAGGAGGCGTGCCCAGGCCAGCAGTCTCTGCACTGTGAAAGCTTCAGCCTTTAGCCCTCAGCTTTATGCTTCTGTTTGCTGGTGAGCTCAGGCACAATACATATACATTCAGTATCTGTCAACCCAAGAGGAACAATTAGCAGCTTAATGGTGGCGTGTAAATGGAGACCGATTTGCACGTAATCATTCAAATGAACCTCGGTGGGTGGGACCTGGAGACGTCTTCCTTCCAAGCCTAGGCGTGCCCTAGAGACCAGGAAAATAAAAATATTGGGGATTAGTAAGTGACCTCAGGCAGATGTATCCCCTGTGACATAGGAGCATGGTCCCTCATAGCCAAAAACCACCTGTGACCCAGAGCCTTGAGAGCTCTAGCCAAGAATGGGGGACAGATGTCCACAGCCCCAGGCATGGCTCCAACGTCAGCTGGTCTCAGCAGTGCCATATCCAAGTTAACTGCCCAGAGCGAACTCTGGACTGCGGGCTGCCCACCGTCTGCTTTAGGAACAAAGCCAAGACCATGGTGATATGTGGCCATGGGCTCGGGATGTGCCATTTGAATAATTCTGCACAGAATAAAAACCTCCATGTGAGGATGTGAGAGGTTTTTATTCTGTGCAGACAAGCACAGCATCTGCTAAACACCAGCTCTCCTGGCCTTCATGGTGGGGCAGACACAACAAACGCTTAAGCTCCAGGCTAAAACTTCCATTTTCAGAATCAACATAAAACCTGTGCCTGTCAGTTTCCCAAGGATGAGGGTCTGCCAGGCTGGTAGATTTCAGCCTATTTACAAATGCCAATGTACAACACTGACCGGAGACTGGGCTTTTGCGAAGTTGACGTGGGCATAGAGGAGAACAGCGATGTCCTTGTGTCCTGCTTCCAGGGCTATTGAGAGCGCGGTGCTGCCATCCTTAAGATGGAAAGAACAAGCCAGGTGGGTTTCTCAAACTTCCAGACAGCCAAAAGGTACCAAACCACTCTCTAGCAATTGACAAGGTTCCCCAAATACAGCCATTTGTTCACTCCTTTAGGAAACTTCTGAGGAAGCAAAGATGAATGAGGCAAGCCTCCAACCTCAAGAAATCTTAGTCAAAGAGGAGAATCACCCCACCATTCCCTTTGTCTTTGCCTCACAATATCTAGCGGGGAGGTCTGTACACTGTGGATCCCCAAAAAGTGCAGGCTGCCCATGAAGAACTCGTATTCAACCATTTTGCCCACCATAAAGGAACAGTAGAAGGAGACGGGTAAAAACATAATTTAATCTTTTTTTTCCTTATGATTACAACAAATAACTAGGCAAGTACCATGGTGTGTGTTTGGAGGCCATGCAATTTGCCAGATCTCTCTTAACTTTCCTCTTGGAGAGGGAGCTGTGATCCTAAAGCCCTAACCACCTCAGAGGTGGCTTGCATTAAGTAGAAGGGAAACACCACATGAAAGAAAATTTCAGTTAAATGCTTGATTTCTATTAAATTGCAGGGATTTAGATGGATGTAAAAGGAGTACCAAGGCAAAGGCAGCACAACATATTTTCTGTCTAGTCTTGAAATAGGGATTTTCATCTTGTCAAAAGCAGCAGGAAATAGTTTGCATGTGGTTTACTCGCATGGTCCTTCCCTCCCACACTGAGTTCTGGGAGCTGCTTTTCTTCCAAACAAAAACCAAAACTCATCTAACACAAGCTGTCCTTGAGGAAAGAGAAGTTGGAAACTCTCCCTCCCCTCAAGGGGAGCTTAAGGGAATGTGGTACAAATGCAGCACCAGTTTCAGCAATGTGGAGGTAGCTGAAACTACTAAGATAGTCAACCCTTCAATCCAGTAAAAACCCCTATTGGTTTGTTCTTGGTGGCCTGGACCCAGAGGTATCTGAAGTTTAGTGAAAAGGAGGATATTTTCCCTCTTTCTTTCTGGTGTATTGGGCTGAAGGAAGCACTGGTCTAACCTGTGCTCCATAGAGATAAACCTTCAAAAACAACAAACCCAGCCCAAATTCTGTGACCTTAAACCCTTTCACCACCTGATTGCCCATTCTCAGACATGCCCATTAAAGTACTTTCTTCTTTTTATGAATTGTGGGGTGAGACCTATTTATCTTTCTGCCTTTGGCTTCAATTAATGGGAGTATTAGCTTGCACATAATTAAGCGTAGCCAAACTGGGTGGTGAAGGGAGGTGGCCTGGATGGCAACACAATCCACAGAGAATAAATGAGAATTCATTCTCTCCCTCTTGCCACACAGCATTCCAGGCCGAGTCCCCTAGGCCCTGGCCTAGAGGCGCAAGGGAAACAGCTTACGTTGTCCTCCAGGTGGCCATTGCAGCCTGGCTGGGCCAGCAGCAGCTTCACGATCTCCACGTGCCCGTGCTCGCTGGCACACATGAGGGCTGTGGAGCCCTCGTCGTCCTGGATGTTGACATCAGCCCCGCAGGCCAGCAGGCCTTTCACCATGTCTATCCGCCCGTGACTGACTGCCAGCATGAGGGCCGTCTGCCCTGCCTGTGGGAAGGAACAACGGACTTCAGAAGTACATACTGAGCTGTGTAGAGGATCTGTGTCATCGTAGCAATGAATTGGAGAGTTCAGAAGATGTATAAAAGTCAAGTTGTGAACACATCTGGACTTGAGACACTCTGTGCCTGGCATGAAGACGCTTCAACAAGGAGACAGGAAACAACAGACACTGGGCATATGATGTGGACTCCTAGTCTCTTACATGCAGGCAGACTTAAACCATTTCTGTGCAAACTCTGCAAACAGAAGGGCAAGGCAAGGGGGGAGGGACAGGTTTCCAATGCCAACTATAAGCCCATATTTCACTATGTTTGGTCAGCAAGGGCAGCACGTGGACTAGGGGTGGGCTGGCGAGCAAGTGCACTGTGGTGGGAAGTGTGGTGTCACTCACTGTCTGCTCTGGCAGAGTGATCACAGCAGGCCTGTGTGGTACCCACCAGGCACATCTGCAATCAAGAGCACAGGAAGCAAGTGTGCTCACCTGACTGGCTTTGGCGTTGACGTCCCCACAGCCGAAGAGTTCTTCCACAACCCGCATGTCCTTTTCTGCCTCCACGGCAGCAAGGGCCGCCAGCATGATGGGGGTATACCCCGCTTTGTTCTGGTGATCCACATTACACACATCTGCAAAGAAGAGTCTATTAAGGGAGCAGCCATCTCCTAACAGCAGCTGCACACAGGGACAGAAGGTATGTGGTTTAGAAGAGGCCCAGTGAAATGGCACCAGGTAGTCAGAGAATGACTTAGGAGGAAATGTGAGAGATGATTTCATGCCAAACAAAAAAATTTTTTTTTCCATATCATGAAAGACAGTAAACTTCTACGGCACGTCTTGGTGATTGAACTGCAACAATCTTGATGTCTGTGAGGCTGTTCTAAGTAATGGCTTCTTTGGAGAATAAACTATATTAAATCTAGGCATTCAGCTGTATTTAGGAAATCACTGTTTTGGAGTGAAGCAGACATTGAGAGCCACAGATGAAAGAAGGGTTTGTAAAGGCTTGTGTATGAACACTGAGTATGTTGTTATCTACTTATCCAAACACTACTCATTCTGAGATCCTGAGTTTATAACTCTGATTCGTGCAGCGTCTGTAGAAGCAGAATTCCAGTCACATAACATCTAGCTCTAGGATTTGTGGTCTGAGAGTGAATGCATGAAGTCCTCTAAGAAACAGCCAGGGCTGGACAGACGCAGTGAACCAGACCTCTTCTATTCCTGTAATTCTTAAGGAGTCTTCAAGGGCGAAATTATCCTTTAGGCATTTAAAAGTTCTTTCAGCACTTTCTATGAAATGGTAAATGTTAGTAAGCAGCATTTATGTGTGACCAAGTTAAAACATTTAGAATGTTTTTTATCATAAAGGAGTAGAAAAGGTATCAATGAAAATTTACCTTAAGATCCCAAGCAACTGCATACTAAGTGCATAATGGTGTTTTTAAAAGTGCATATTTTTATGTAAAAAATGGAAAAGAAAAGGCTACAGAAGCAATAAGTACATGTGCTCTTTGAAGCTTCACAAATGGTGAAGCATCTTAGATTCATATTTTATAGAGCCAGAATCTCAGTGTATAATGGCAAGCAATAAAAATTAAGTAAATAAAGAGTGATTAATATCATTTAATTTGCCAAGATGTTTGATCCACTCTAATTTTCCAAGAGTATATTAAATTGTTCCTTTCAGAAGTAATACTGCAATCCTATTTCCAGCTTCCCTGGCTGGATATTATCCACTTCCGTTTAAACAATAACTTGGGCTGACATTATCGCCAGCTCTATTTAATGTCTGGAAAGTCTGAAGGGAAGAAGGTTTGAAATTCCTTCCTGTAAGATGGAAACAGTTATACCCTAACACAGCCCCTAAAATAGGGAACAAGCAAACTTAGAGGAGAAAGAAAAGGATCAATCTGTTTGAACTTCTTCTCTGCATTAATCCAAAATCCCCAAAGCAGAGTAGAAAACACTGGACAGACAAGTTCAGGAAAACTGGACAGTTTTCTTGCGTATTCTAAATCAGATGTTCACATTGTATCCTCATTAACACATTAACTGCCATGTGAGTTGTATTTAACTCATGCTAGTTTTGAGCCGGGGGCCTTGTGAAACATATGTAAGCATATGGTTTGTGAAAATCTTGTTGATGTTCTTGTTACAGTTGATTATTTAATTGCATATAACTCAGACATAGAAAGCAATAAAAAAATAACAAATTTTTCATTAAATCAGAAAAAAAAAAAAAGAAAAATACCTTAATTGAATATTTTTCAAATTGTAAGTAGTATTTGCTCATAGTAAGAACACAAAATGAAGATATATAGGCAATATCTCCTCACTTATCTACTCTCCACCCCCCATCCTCAACCACTCCCATGATTTAACCACTATCAATAGCTTAGTATGTATTCATTACAGTATATACTAAGTTTATTCCTACACATACACAGTTATGATAAAGTTTAATTTATAAATTAGGTCCAGTAATAAATTAACAGCTAATAATAAAATAGGACAATTATAACAATACACTGCAATAAAAGTTACGTGAATATGGTCTCTCTCTCAAAATATCTTACTATACTGCACTCACCTATTTTTGGAGGGCAGTTGACCATGGGTAACAAACCATGGAGAGCAAAAAGGCAGATTGAGGGGGGACTACTCTATATTGTCAGGTAAAAAAACAAATCTCATTTAGTTAAGGACTTTATTTGAAAGGATTATTGCGAGTGGGGATGGGGTGGGGGAGGGTTACTGTAATAGGAAGAGACTATTCCCAGGTTCTTTGAAATGGAATGAAAGGATGGCTTGACTGCATAGCTGATCCCAGAGTATTTCTTTCTTTCTTTCTTTCTCTCTCTCTCTCTCTCTCTCTCTCTCTCTCTCTCTTTCTCTCTTTCTTTCTAGTCTAGCTTTGTTGCCCAGGCTAGAGTGAGTGCCCTGGCGTCAGCCTAGCTCACAGCAACCTCAAACTCCTGGGCTCAAGGCTCAAGCAATCCTACTGCCTCAGCCTCCTGAGTAGCTGGGACTACAGGCATGTGCCACCATGCCCGGCTAGTTTTTTCTATGTATATTAGTTGGCCAATTAATTTATTTCTATTTTTATAGTAGAGACGGGGGTCTCGCTCTTGCTCAGGCTGGTTTCGAACTCCTGACCTCTAGCAATCCGCCCGCCTCGGCCTCCCAGAGTGCGAGGATTACAGGCGTGAGCCACCACGCCCAGCGATCCCAGAGTATTTCACCTGGAGGCCAGCCTGTTCTCAGGAGGGGTTTTGCGCTGGCTCAGGCTGAGGGTGGGTTAAAGTTCAGAGGCCTGGGAGGAGAGAAACTTAATCAAAATTTGGTTAACAAGCATCCTATTGGTCAGTGGGATAAGCAGCAGGTCAGTCAATTATTTATGTGGCAAAGAATGGGAGTTTGGGGATCTGTGGCAGGCCTCAGCCTAGCTAAACAAAGGGGTATCCTTGGGGGCTTTTCTAAGTCCTAAGGAGAAGGTGTTTCTTTGCATTTTGCTATTTACAGGAACACAAAAGGGTGGGGCACGACCCTAGTCTCAGCTACTTGGGAGGCTGAAAACTGGAGGATACCTAGACCTAGAGCCCAGAGTTCAAGGCCAACCTGAGAAACACAGTGAGACCTTATCTCTTAAAAAAAAAAAAAAGAAAAGAGAAAAAGTAAGAGGTTTGTTAATCATCATTTTTTCAGTGTTTTCCAGGAGTACAGGACTCAGGTAACATTAAACATTGTCAATATGCAGAGTTTAATGAGTTGTTTGCTTTACTACTCTGGGCCTTGCAAAAATACAGATTAAGCTGGATGTAAATGTAGTCGTGATTTTAGGAGCACAACAAGGTACTGTGCCCACATACTCTCTCTCCATATTGGGCCAAAATGAGGTGACTGCACTCTTTCTATTGCAGTTTATCCTCACCTTGTGCCCTTGTATAGAGATTTATGTGTAATCAATCAGAGTTACATCAATCTAGTTGTAATCCTGCTCTCTCTTACCCTTCTCGAAGTCACTCAACCAAACCCGAATCCTGCAGTGGTTCTAATCCCCTTACGTGGATCCGTGGCTTTCCCCATGGTATTTCCTCAAGACGATCATTAGTTCAGTTGTACGACACTATAGTATTCACAGTGGTGCCTTGGTTGAGCACTTGACAGATGCTTTGGCTTTTTCTGCGGCGCTTGGATTGGGGGGTTGGAAACCAGCCGCAAAGTAAGCAGACCAATTGCCCTGAAGCTCACTTAGATCAGTAAGATCAATTAGCACAGACCAAAAGGACCAGTAGAAGCCCCTGAAACTAAGGTGGCGAGGAGGAGAGAGACGACGGAGGAGAGAGACAGGACGACACAGACAGAAGAGATGCTTGGTCAGGCCCTCACATGCTCCAGGTCTAACCTCCACTCACACCTTGCTTTACTGCTTCAGACTTCCTGTGCAACCGCAGGACCGGCGCCTGGGCCTACTTCCTAAATTCTGACCAGGAAACCTCAAGAGATAATCAATGATTGCTGTTTGAAGCCACTAAGATTTGAGGTGCGATTTGTACATAAATATAAATAAAGTGTCTGCACACAGTAGGCGCTCATACTGGTAGCTTTTTTTTTTTGTACTTATAAGAGTAAGCAGAGGCGAATACTATGTACACCTTAAACTTGGTACCCATAAGACACTAAATTAAAAAATAAAGACAGTCAAGGCTATTATGTGCAAATCCCAACGGCCTAATTTTTTCCAGTAAATTTTCCCTTGCAAAATCTTGTGGACTGTGCCCAAGATCCACTCAGGTTATTTTATCCTGATACAAAATAATAGTAGAATATCAACTACTCCTCGTAAGGGATGAGCTCTTTTGAGCATGCTGAGCAGTTACTACGGATTGCTACTATCTGAGAGGATTTGGTGTTTAGGAAATATTGTATACTTTGGTTCATAACTTTACAAGAGTTGACTACTATTTCCTGGCGGGCCACTGTTCCGAGGTTGGAAGACATGTTTTTTTTTTGTTTATTTTTTTCTTTTTTATTTTTTTTTTTGAGACAGCGTCTCGTTTGGTTGCGCAGGCTAGGTGGAGGGCCGTGCGCAGCCCTAGCTCACAGACACTCAAACTCCTAGGCTCGAGTGTCCTTTCTGCCTCAGCCTCTCCGGTAGCTGGCTACAGCATGCGCCACATGCCGGGTATTTTTGTAGTAGTTATTAGTCGTGGCACATGTAATTCTTTTTATTTAGGTAGGACGGGGTCTCGCTCTTGCTCAGGGTGGTTTTGTAATCCTGACTTGAGCAATCCGCCTGCCTCGGCCTCCCAGAGCTTAGGATTACAGGCGTGAGCCCACGCGCCCGGCCAAGAACAGTTTTAATATAACGATTAATATGACCTGTTGAAATACTTAATGGCGCGTCCTGGCCGCCTTGCCGAGTTGACTGACGGCGTGTCGGCTTCTACTACGCTCAGGATGAGGCCAAGCACATTGCGTCTTCCTACCAAAGTAGACTGACCATTGAGTCTCCTTGCTGGCTGACATGAGAAATGGCAGCCTGCCAGCGACACTTAGATCTCCTACACACCTCTTAACACAGCATGAAGCTGCCAGTACACTGGGTGCAAGTAGCTCCTGTCATCTGCACTCAGCATTCAGGCGAGTCTAGGCCCTGGCCTGGAGGCGCAGGGAAACAGCTTACGTTGTCTCCATGGTGGCCATTGCAGCTGGCTGGGCCGCAGAGTCACGATTCCACCGTGCCGGTGCTCGCTGGCCACATGGGGGCTGTGGGAGCCCTCGTGTCCTGGCATGTTGACACAGCCGCAGCCAGCAGGCTTTCACCATGTCTATCGCCCGTGATGACTGCACGCCGAGGGCGTCTGCCTGCTGTGGAAGGATCACGACTTCAGAAGTATACTGAGCTGTGTAGGATCTGTGTCATCGTAGCATGAATTGGAGGGTTCGAGGAGATTATAAAAGTCAGTTGTAACAATCTGGCTTGAGACACTCTGTGCCTGGCATGACGCGCTCACAAGGAAGACAGAACAGACCTGGGCATATGATGTCGGGACTCCTGTCTCTTACATGCGGCAGCTTAAACATTCTGTGCAACTCTGCAAACGAAGGGCAAGGCAAGGGGGGAGGGACAGGTTTCAATGCCAACTTAAGCCATATTTCACTATGTTTGGTCAGCAAGGGCAGCACGTGGCTAGGGCTGGACGCTGGGAGCAATTGCACTGTGGTGGGACGTGTGGTGCAACTCACTGTCTGCTCTGGCAGAGTGAGTCAGCAGGCCTGTGTGGTCCCACAGGCACATCTGCAATCAAGAGCACAGCAAGCAAGTGTGTCACCTGACTGGCTTTGGCGGTATGCGCTCCCAGGCCGAAGGTTCTCCACACCACGATGTCCTTTTCTGCACCCGGCGCAAGGGCGCAGCTGATGGGGTATACCACCGCTTTGTTCTGGTGCTCCACTTACGACAATCTGCAAAGAAGAGGGTCTATTATAAGGGAGCAGCCATTCCTAACAGCAGCTGGCCAGGGACGAAGGTATGTGGTTTAAGAGGGCCAGTGCAATGGCACAGTATAACGTGGGTGAATGCTTGAGGATGGAGAATGTTTCATGGCAACAAAAAATTTTTTTCCATATCATGAAAGCGTAAACTTTACGGGCAGTCTGGTGATTGACTGCAACAATCTTGATGTCTGTGGGGGGGGTGGCTGTTCTATATATGCGCTTTTGGAAATAAACTATTTAAATCTAGGATTCAGGCTGTTTTAGGAATTCACTGTTTTGGAGTGAAGCAGACATGGACAGCCAGAAAGAGGGTTTGTAAGGCTTGTGTATTGACACTGAGGTATGTTGTTATACTTATCCAAACACACTACCTTCTGAGATCCTGAGTTTATAACTCTGATTCGTGCGCGTCGTGGGTAGGCAGATTCCAGTCAATAACATGCTAGCTTCTAGTTGTTGGTCCTGAGGAGTGATGCATGAGTGCCTCTAGAAACAGCCAGGGCTGGACGCGCAGTCCGAACAAGACTCTTCTCTTCTTAATTTAAGGAGTCTTCAAGCGAAATTATCCTTTAGGCATTTAAACGTTCTTTCAGCGGCTTAAGCAACCCTCCTGCCTCAGCCTCCCGAGTACCTGGGACTACAGGTGTGTGCTGCCA